AGAAGAGCGCACCCATAATGACCAAGTCCAGAATCTTCCCGACGTGCCCGAGGAGTATGATGCCCTCTGATACACTCCTGCTGGGCGCCTTCTCGGCCGCGATCGAAGTGCACACGCATTGGAGGTCGACCGCCGGGCGTCCGCACACCTGGTTGGTGCCGCAGCAACACACTTCTTGGAGCCCGTGCTTGATGTACGCGCCGCAGTACTGGCCGGGCTGGCCGCGGTGCGCCGTGGAGCAGGTGCCGTCGCGGGCACAGAGCTCGCACGTGTCGGCCGCCATAGGCACGTCAAGCGCCTTGGCGCTCACGAGCAGCGTCGCTAGCAGCAGCAGCAATAGTCGGCCTTGCTGCATCTTGCTTTGTCTTGGTTTCCGGATCGGCCACGGGCTGTTGTACGGGTTGTTGTGCGGGTTGTCATGCAGCGGCTGGTTGTGACAATCTTGAAGAGCTCCAAGTTTTCAATGCTTGCTTTGTATTGCCCTTTATGCTCTACAATTATGGCGTATCGCCGTTTAATTGGGACCTTAGGAGTTACTGGCATTGCTCTATTGAGACTTTATATCATTTGAAATCGAATACTGGGCATGCCGATCAAATATCAAGGGCGTGCTTTGGCATTCTATTGCGTCGCGGCGCACCAGGCCGCGCGGTCGGCGCAGCGCCAGCCACCCATGCCGTCGCCGCCAGAGGCGCTTCATGCTACATGGAGGCGGAATGTCCGCATCGTCCTAGCGCCGTCCGCTAGCACGCTCTCACATAGCAACACGTAACCCATTTGCTCATTGCGCGCCGTTGCCGACTCTGCGTCGGTAACTCCGCAGCATCAGCTTGCGGCGTAGGCAACTGTGGCGTTTCCAAGCGGCGCGACGCTGAAGTTGGCACAATTGTATGACATGAATGGATTGTTTATACAATGCTACGGAGTTGGTACTTGCTGCCGCACGCCGGGCACGATTGGCAACGTCGATGAGATGCGAGTAGGAAGTGAACGGGCACCAGACGTGGACGTCGCAGCCGCCAAAGAGAAAGGCGCCGGGGTCTGGAACCGAGCCAAGGCTCAAGGACGCATCGGGCAGCGTGTACTTCCACGATGGCCACTTGCTGCGTCGAGAGGATCTTTAGGGCGCGGACCGTACGAAGACGGCAGGGTGCCCTCTCGCTCCTTCTACGAGCGCATCCTCGACCATTCTACACATAGCACGTAAGAGATAGTGCATCGAAAGTGAGAGTAAGACGTACGACGGTATCGCGCCGGGCGCGTCTGCTTGAGTAGTCGCTTGCGCTTGCGGCTGCTGCACTTGCGACGCGTCGTCCCCACTAGTCGCTTGCGCTTGCGGAAGCTGCACTTGTGGCGTGTTGTCGCCTTGTCTGTGGACTATGTTCCTAGGCATGCCATTGGCGCAAGTCGAGAGATAGCTGGCGACGTACTTGTACTTGGCCGGGTTGAGCTTAGTCGCAAAGCAGTGCGAGGTTGCGGCAATCCAAGCACACGTCCTGGCCATTCGGGTAGACGAGGCGCATCCGACGCTCCTTCTTGGACGGGTGCACGGTACCGGGCGGGAGATAGCTTCTTGGGTGCACGAGCACGGCCCATTGCGGATCGATACCTGGTGGCCTTGTGAGTGGCCTTGTGAGTGGCCTTGTGAGCGGCCTTGACGGGCCTTGTAAAAATCCTTCATTTTGTCCAATCAGAGCCGGCGCATCTGGCTTTTCCGGCAGCGTTGTTGCTTATCCGGCCCCGTTCTGATTGGACAAGCACACTACTGGAGCCAGTGATATGACGTAATCAAGCTACCACGATTGCGTAATCCGGGGAGAGCCCGTGGCGCTGGCGCTGGAATAAAATGATGATAAAATAGGATCCAGGATTTTTTCCCTCTCTTTTTCTATGCGGCGCGCCAGTAAATTCAACACTCCCGCACTACTGGCGAATTGCCACAATTATTGAGACTGTGTATCCTTGAATCAAGTACGGACCTTGGCTATAGGATGGCAAAGGGTACTGCACTGCATTGTATGGCGTCGGGGTGCTCCTGGTATGGTATTGTGTGGTATGCACAAGAGTACAGATTATGTACTCTCGGGTATGCATGGGTGCACAGAGGCGGTCTGCCTCCCCTTGAAGCCCGCAGTAGTATTGATGGTCCATCATCGACTTCCGAGGACCTTGACACACTGCATAGCTTTGCCGCCGACCGCGACGCCTGGAAAGATTTGACCGACCGTGTCGTCACGGGCCTCACCCGCGGCCACAAGCGTCGTAGGGCGACGACAGAAGAGCCAGACGAGCCCCCGCGCCGCCGCCTGCGCAGCCACGGACCGGCGAGCGAATGAAGAAGAAGGAGATTGCTAGTCTCTACGTATGCGAAGTCTTTGTGTAATTATGAAGATAACGCGACGTTCATATATATATATATATCATCGATCGATCAAACTTGCTATCTTGTTGGTGGATTGGTGGTACACTGGATACAGTGTAATTAGATATTTGATGCCCTTGGCAGGGGAGAAG